AAATAAGGCTTGAAAATTAGTCTTTATTCGACCAATAAACAAAGAATTTAAGAAAAATCCTTAATCTTTAAAAATGTTCTTTTGCCTTTTTTTTTTTCAATGATTGTCCTAAAATAAATACCATATATTCAAATATAATGCATACAATCAAATAATATATATATAATTAAAAAATAAAATAAAATGACTCAAGAATTCAAAACAAACAAGTAAGAGAAATAATATAATAACCATATAACAAAATAATATAACGTATAATGTCCTAATTTTTGGTAATTTTTTAAAAAGGTGGCATGGCTCTATCCTAGGCAGGCTTCCTATGGCTCACGATATGCTGGATTAGGATTTATATGTCTTAAGGTTCCCAGACTATTCCTCACATCATCACCTATTATAGATTAGTAAGGTTCTTCGATCCTCGCCCATTATGGGTTATTAACGAAAAGGGTTCAATCTGAGTAAAAGTGTTTTGCTAGCAAATACGGGGGTTATCACCTCATGAGAGCGTAGCTACTTCACTTCCTTCTAAAAGGGGTATAGCTCGGGTATAGAGCTCATGCATGTGAATGAATATGCAGAGTGGGTGTAAAGCAATGTATTAATCCAAATAAATAAATCCAAAGAAAAAAATAATAACTATCATGCAATTTATTATGTTTATTAACTTGTATATATATATATATTGAAAAATTAAACAAAGGGAATTAAACTAAATATTAAATAAAACCAATTAAATCGAACCATTGCTAATAACACATAATTAAATTTTTGGCCCGACTCTCAAATGTTCCAAGTTGAGTCGCCAAGCTGTCGTAACGATTTTGGGACCGCCAGACGTAAATAAGTTTTAAAATCGAGAGAAATAAAATGAGTCGCTACCAATCTTTGTTAGGGTGTGATTGACCACTCAAAAGTTTATCTTTTTAATAAAACTATAAAAACGGGTTTAAAGTTTATCAAAAAAACTAAATTTCGATCTACGAAAAATTAGGTTGGGTCCGGGAGTCAGTTATGTATGGGGAAGGATTAGCACCCTCACAATGCCCATAAATTGGTACCATTTAATTACGCGCTATTTTCGGTGTTAGATAAAAATGGTTTTAATTTGAAATTTAACAATAATTCCCTTCATTTGAAAAAATATTTTTGCTAAAATTTTTATTTAGAAATATTGAGAAAATCTTTAAGTTAAAGAATTATCTTAAAATTCTCCAACATCTAGGCATAATTTGAAATAACTCTTTTCGCTTAAGATTTAACACAACAATCTTTAAAATTAAATAACACTTTTTATAAAAAATTATCAGTGGCTCTCAAACATCTAGACAGAGTACCAAGAATTATTTCTTTTAGAATGTTATTTTTATTTTATTTTGTAATATCATAATTTTTTTTAAAGTATTATTCTTTTTTTATTATAAAATATTTATCATCAAACATTAAATTAAAGAGAGAATAATACAGACAATTATCGACGATAACATGCTAACGTATGTATGCTAATGAATGTCATGTAAAATGAACTGTAATTTAAAAGTTGAGTTCTTAAGTATAATGAGACCACCCCGACTCTCCAATATCTAGACAGAACTTAGGTGCGATTGTTTATATTTAAGATCTCAATTTACTGTTATACTTTTTATTTATTAATCTTATTATTAATACAAATTAAAAAATCGTGTGAAAAGACTTAACGAAGTAAAATTTCTTAAATACCACATCATTTAGGTGACATTCGAAAATAAATTGCTTCAAATGAAATTTTCACATGTGTCTTTAGGATTTACAGGATATTTTGAATAAGGGCTTGAGTAGAGGTTTTGAAGGTTTGGTTTTAAGGTTTATAGGGTTTTAAGGCTTGAATTTTAGGATATGAAAGGTTTAGGGTTTTGATTTTTGAGTTTGAAGATTTTAAGGTTTTGATTTTAAAATTTGAGGTTTGGGGTTTTGATTTAAGGGTTTGAATTTTAGGATTTTGGATTTTAGGAGTTTTAAAAACCTAGGATTTTGAAAATTAAGAATTAGTGTTTAAGGTTTTGTTTTTAAGAAAATACGAACATCTCTAAAAATCTCCAGCATCTAGGCAGATTTTCGAAGTAAGTTCGATTTTAATGATTTTTGAAAACTAATTAAAAATTTTTTTATATGTTTATTTTTTATGAAAATTTATTAATAATAATTTCCCAACATCTAGACGAAATTATTTTTAGGAAAATATTTTTATTCCCTCCAACATCTAGGCAGAAAAAATAATAAAAATAATAAAAATTATTATTTTGAACATTTTTAATATATATTTTTAATTATTACTTGTTTTCAATTTTATTATTATTAAAACAATTAAACATTTATTCCAACAAATTTAAGAATTTATCAAGCATCAAATAAAATAAAAAATACTTAAAATAACAAAAATAATAATATAAAGAAATTAAAAAATTCAAAAAAAATTTTTTTTTTACGTAAATCGGACCGGTCAACAGTCCGATCAACGATCGATTCGGCTTACGGTTTAGTCAAACCGACTGAGGAGCGGTTCAGTTCGGTTCAAACCAGTTCAATTGGATCGATCAGCAGCTGTTGAAGAATGGGTCCACGGGCCGGGTTACGCGAATCTCGGGTCAGATCTAGGTCAACGCGCGGATCTTTTTTGGCCTAAAACGACGTCGTTTTGCTCCTTAGTCTTTTATATATAACTGAAAAAAAATTTTTTGTTCATTCTTTTTGTTTTTCAGAAAAAAAAGGGGGGAGAGAGCTCTGGGGAGAGCTCACCGTTCGGTCGTCGCCGGCGATCGCTGCCTGTGGTTTTCGATCGTTGAAAAATACAAAAATTATTTTGGTAGCTCTGTTCAACGCCCTCTTTCCAAATCTGACTTTCTTTTCACCAGAAACAGCCTTGATCGTTGTAGATTGAGGCTTGAAGTTTTTTGCTTTCTTTTTTTTTGGACTAAAACTGATCTGTTTTCTTTGTTTTTTCATGGAAGCTCAGCGCTGAGGTTTCTTCCTACGGGGAGGACTGTTTGTCTTTTTTTGTTTCTATTTTTGTGTTTCTGTTTTTGTGGTTGGTGTGGGTTGAAGGATTTTTTTTTTTGTGTCTGGGTGTCTGAAAGGTGTTGTGGTCAGTGTGTTTGGAGGTGAAGAACTGTCTGAAAGTTTTTTAGAGGGGATGTCTGAGAGAGCTTTAGAAAATGAGGGTTCGAAAAAGCCAAAGGGAAGAAGTTGGGGGGGTTTTTAAGGAGTTTCAACTAGGAGGATATATGGTGGTCGTAGGCATGGTAGGGTGGCTGTCTGGTCTGGTGGCTGGATAGGGGCTGGTCAAAGGGCTGTAGGGTGGCTAGTCGGGGGCGGCAGCAACGCCGTATACTAGCCACCCTACTTTCTATTTTTCTTTTTTTTTGTTATTTTGTTATTTTGCTTTTTTTATTTTTTTCATTATTATTTTTATATAATTAATAATTATTTTTTAAAATTATTATTATTATTATTAAAATTATTAATATTATACTAAAATGAAAATAGTAGACTTGAATAAAACCGGTGTCTACATGATTTGGTAAAGGTGAAGCTCGTTAGAGATTGAGTTGAAAGTGTATCAAAACTGTCAAAAAAATTTTTTTTGAAGGGCATTAGAAGTAATACTCCGGAGCACTATTTGGCGTTTAAATTAGTCAAGTTTCTAAAAAAAGAGGTAGGAAATCAGGAAGAAAAAAGATAATGAGAGAAAAAGCAAAGGTGTAGAGCAAAGAATGTTGCATGCTTGATTTGATTTTTTTTTTTTATATTTTATAAATGATGATGTGATTAATTGAATATATGATTATTTATATTGAAATCATGTGTGGATATTAATAATGTGGCGAATCAAAATATTATTGACGTGACCATTAAAATATAACAAATTTGAAACAAATTGCATCAAATGACATGTGTATGATGGAGAGCACAGTTTCTAACCCTAAAACCCCAAGATTATTGTTGACCTAATTCTAAATAATACTATGGTTTTCAAGCAACATGATATATTATAGGAAAAGAGTTCAAATTTATGTCTCAATTATAATTAAAAATGAAAAATTCTAAGGTATTGGACTAAAATATCTGAAAAATAATAGCACAAGCTAATTGGTTATATATTTAATAAGTACAAAGTAACCCAAGAAAGTGGAAATAAAAACGTCAAAAACGAGATAAAGACCTAACACCTTGCAAGGAAGGAATCACCAACCAAGCACATGGTATTACTATCATTTTACCCAACAATCATTAGCTTTGTTGATTATAACAGTGTTTTCTTTTCATCCTGAAACAGTGGGTGAATGAAATGCAGAGTACGTTTTTCTCCCTCTTTTTGCTTTGGTTTCATTGATCATTTTGTCATCTACATAAAATGCTGATAAACCATTTAACTTTAATAAAGTTGCTTGTTGTGGGTACACTACATGTGCCAGTCACAATTTATCCTGCATAATTTAGCCTGAAAAGGACCTGCTTGATCTATCACTATATCATTGGACTAAGATGTCATTCTCAGATCAATCTGCTTAATCTAATCTTAGCTAAATGACCAGAGGAAGGGTATATATCTCAGTCTGTCACTTAATCAAGAACACAGAATATCACATTCTCTGACAAGACTCTCTTTATTAGGATTAATGTAAATGCAAGCCAATCCTGGAGTAGGACAATAATGTTAGGATCAATTGGTCCCGTGAGTTCCATTTCTTTTGCAGATAGATTCCTTCAGTTTTGCAAGTAACCAAAATTACACATCAAGATCAAAGGCAAGAATCAAGGGCTTTAAATAGATTCTTACTGCAGGCAGCAGGCCCCATTTTCAACCAAGATCACAGAAACTTTGGTCTATATGTCACCTTCTTATGACACCCAAATTGCAAAACGGTTAACCTGGACTGAAAAGATTCCAATCCAACGCTCAGTTTTATCTGTTCCCTCTCCATATCGAGTAGATAATTTGGCAAAAAAAAAAAAAAATGATAGCAATATTGTGAATTTTGTAGCCATGTTCTGAAAATTGGCTAGTTAGAGAAACCTAGAAAAACCTTACCAAATATCTAATTCCAAACTTGTAAATTATGTACCAGGATTCATCGATCATGAGAGTCAATGGTAAGTTTCAACCCTGCAGACATGCTGCAATTTTTATTCAAAGGCTCAAATGGGAATTAAGAGAAAAACATTTGCAAGTAATTCCTGGAGTTTAGTGTCTTTATCTTTCAATGATGAATTGGTACAAAGGGAAGGTTTAAACGGACATTTTTATGCATCACTCCATTCACCACATAGGTATATTATATAGGCAAAAATATGAGCATGTACAATTATTCTGCAAGAAAGTTATAAACATAAGAAACCAGAATGAATACATTAATAGGATTTCTGTTCAAATCAGCCAAAATCCTGCAAGACAAACACAAACCTAGAAAAATTGTAAGTGAAGGGACAATCATACACAAATCGACAGACATATTCAGCTCAACCTGAGAAATAGTATCATCATTTTTGTCCTTGGGTTTACTATAGATATCAACACATATATATCCCCTAACCAGTCCAAACGCCCACCACCAAAAATAAGTAAAGAGAAGTAAACTTCGATTGACCAAGACAGGAGAAAACATTATACCAGTCCCATATCTTCTTCCACCACTCGTTGATGCACAAAGACATTATATCATTTGGTTTTACCAAATTGTTATCATCATTAATGATTTTTTCCGCCTTGATAAATTTTCATAGATAGTCCATTACAAAAGCTAAAGTTATATTGTTTAAGTAAGAAAATGTTCATTTATAAAACAAATTATTATTAGTTGCAAATTTCTTGAAATCACTCCCTACTCCTTAGGTATATGGGGCACTTAAATAATGTATGAAAAGACAATCCATTATTTTCTTAATCTTACTCAAGTCACTATGGATCTCTAAATATAGCTGATATGATCTGATCTGAGCTGACAGGGTTCAAAAGACTGTCATTGTTGTTACTGGGCCATCAAACATAAGTTCTAACATTTTTCACTTTCCCCATTCATACAAGATAAATTCATCTGCCACTAACCTGAATTAAACAAATACAAGAACTATGGTTGATTGGTGTTTTTGTTATTTATTTTTTATTTTTTAATAAAGTGAAAAACAAAAAAGTTCAAAGAAAAAAACCCATTAACTATTCTGCAAGCTGTAGGTCAGTATGCTGAATTGTATTTGCAGTGGTTTGAACCACGGATCTTGACCCAGAGTTAAAGGTTCTAGCCTAGCAACTTAATTTGTGAGATAGTGGATACGAAATGGGGTAGAGCACCAGCACCAAAATTCTTTGGAAGCACATTGTTGACTTTAACCGTGGAAGATACAGGATAAGCTTCAGATTTTTTTTTCCCTTTGTTTCTTGTTTCTGGTCAGGGTGGTTTAGAACAGGCAGAAAATAAACATGTTAAGCTCCTTCTTGGCCTCCACAAACTTGTATGCTTAAATCATCAACCATGCCATTAGCAGATTCTGAAAGAACCCTAACATTAGACATTTTCCCTTTATCTTTATGTGGGAGAGATCAACAAGCTAAACAATTTTCTTTTGACAGACAAAGATTCTCCAGAAGTTCACATAACTTCAACCGCTTAACAACAATCATTAGGCACAAATGAAATTGAAGAGGACAAATATCCAGAAATCTAAAATGTTTTTTTCTTCTTTCCCAAAGGCAACAGGCTACAAATCTGCACTGAAGCCAAAGGCCTTGAAAGTGACTTTTATTGCAAGAATCAGTTGTTTGGCAAAATCATAAAAAGAAAATGCAAGTATTTACATCAGAAGCAAGTATATTACTTGAGAATCATCTATCTACAATGTATAAGAACCCTCTCTTCATGTTAATTAGCTAAATGCATGAAAGATCACAAACCAAACTTTCATGAGTGATGATCTCTGCATAAGCAAGCATAAAACGAAATAGATTCTTCATTCAACCGAAAAAGTAGCAAATGCACCACCAGTTTTCAGCTGTAAGTGAGAGAGTGACATAGCAATTGCATATATGAATTAGATTAAACAACATATCTGTATAGCTGGTGTTTTAGCAATAATAACTATTAAGATCTTAACTAATCAAAAGTAGCACACAACACAAGACTGTCCCTGAAGGTGCAAATCTGAACGTGAAAGGTTTTATAGCAGTATGGGAAACACATGTTACCTGGAGTGTGAGCACTTAAAGAATACTGCACAAACTTTATAAATCAAGCAATATGGATTGAGATTCCTAATGGTTAGGACCATCCACTATGCTTGCCATTTTTTATAATTCTTCTTAGACTGGTATACTCTTACCTTATCTTCTCAGCTCTATTTTTAATCTTTTATTCATGCCATTGCTCTCCATATGAAAAGAACCTAAAACAGTTACCAACTACACTCAGTGAGAAAAATCCCCATCTTGATATTCTTAGGTAACTAACACCAAGATGATTACTAGCACAAATTTATTTCAATCCACTTGACTTTATCTCTCTCGTTTTTCACTCATTCTTAGTGTGTATCAACCTTTAAGTCACCCAACAATTTCCCTCTACGATTCCTATTTTATTTTATACGACAACAAACTTGAAGCACAGCCAGGTTCTCATCCTGATTACTGTGAAGAAAATCAAGTTAACCAACGTAATAATCAGAAAACTATAAGTTGATAACTGCATCTGTCAACTAAACATATTGCAACCAATTGAAAAGCCAAGGCAAACCACTATGAAATTCTCATACAAGATGCCTAAACAAGGAAAGAAGCAATTGACTGTATCTAACCCCAAAAAATTGGGTCCTTAAGTCCTTAAACCTATAACAATCTGCTGGCTAACCTAATCTCATCCGCTACTCAGAACAGTATAACTTTGATGTTGAACTGACAGTTATAGAATCATAAAAATGACACCAGAAGTTTCCTGTTCTCTTCAGATACCAACTAACATCTTTGACCCTTCCTAACATGTTTAAAAAGAAAAAGAGTGTACCACAGTTAGCTCAGTTTTACAATTAAATCATCAGAAACCACTGTTAATCTCCCAAATTCTGCATCAACCTTTCTCAGCAGTCTATGGTATTGATCAAACAGTGAAAGCTAAAATTTCAAGCCATTCTTATCAGAATTTCTCTTCCAAACACTCCAAAGTGCGAAGCATTATTTCACACAAACTAATAAAAAATTCAACATTCAGAGATAAAACTAACTTTTACATTCATCCCAAGGAATAAACTAAACACATCTTTCAACCAGGATGAAAAAGGGTATAATTTTGCAAAATTTTCCAAATTCCACCTTTACGCAATGCCCAATATGAACCCCAAATTCAGTACAACTGAATTCAAACATGGTCCAACTTTACCTTCCCGAACGGCCTAAGTCTAGCCACATGCTTTCTCTTGCCATCTCTTACCATTAAAATAAACAATAAACAAAATATAAAACAAGAAACATGTATTTGCTACATAGGAAATGTGAAATTAAAAGAAGTAAACTGAACTACTTTTCATATTGATGATTGATCAATAACCCATAAACTGTGTACAAAAATCTAACTATCTAAAAACAATTGTGCAAAGAATCTACAAATGCAATGAGATTTCTTTCAAACATGAAGCCATCAAAAGAAATTCATTAAAATTCATGAAGAGTCAACTTCTAAGCCATATAGAACATTAGCATACTTCTCAATCGGATCTCCTTTCACAAAATACCTTTTCGTGACCTCCAACCACGCGTCCAACGTCAGCAAGCTATCGGAACCGGCCTGATGACTCTTTCCAATGGTACGCTTCACCCCCAGTGCTTTAGACGCACGGTCGAGCCCTCCATATAATCCAGCGCAGAACCTCATCAAGTGTTTGACGTCGTAGACTCTGTCTCCAAAGAACAAGCGAACGAGGTTCAAGAACTCAGTGAGTTGGTCCGGTAATAGCTTGCTCGTTAAACATTTCACGAGGTATCCGAAATCGTACGCGCAGTGGAAAGTGACCCACGTAACGGCGTCGTTTAAGACGAGTCCCGATGACATCATCAGTTCCGCGAACCGGACCGAGTCTATCCCAAATTCCCGGTTCCTTTCGAAATCTATGCCTTGACGACGGAGAAGCTCGACGGAATCGTGTGCATGGACATCATTCGCGACATCGAAGTCTTTGAAATTGAATTCCCAAACGAACTGGTTTTCGGTGCCAAGATCTGGTAAATTTCCGTCACCGTCGGATAAAGTGAGGCCAAGTTGGATCAGCTTGAGTAAATCGACGTTCGCTTTGAGGCTTCTATAATGCGCCGTAGCATTACCTGGGCGGACGTATTGGTCGCCAGAGGGGGAAGTAGGTCTGACGACAATGCCAGGGAACTCCGTGTCCATGGAAATTATCGGAAAGCCATCGATTATGGATCTGATTAATTCGATTTCAGACTCCAAATTATCGGACCAAACGGATCGGATGACGACCGACTCTCGAGGAGGAGAAGGTTTATCTGACATTTTCTTCGATCTTTTTCAAAGAAATTCGTCGCAGTTTCGATAAAGAGAACGAGATGTTCCTCTTCCTTTCCTTATATTGGATTAAAATTTTTTTTTTTAATTCAGGCTTTAGGGCTTGATTTTGGGGGAAAGACAAAGACCGGCTGAAGAAAAGACGTAGGGGGAGGAAAGGTGTTTGTAGAAAGGCGGTTTATTTATTTTCTATTTTTTAAATTAATGATAAATTAATTAATTATAAACTGTGGAGATAAGGACAGGTGTAGGTAAGTGTTTTTAAATTTTGAATTTTTTTATAAATATATATGAGATGTATAACATTATGATTTCAAAGAACATTTGTTTTTTGTTTAAAAAAAGTAATATAAAAAGATATAGTCAAAAAGTAAAGCATTATGGAAATAAAAGAGTCGTGATTTTGAAGGAAAACCTTGAATTAAAGCACTACTATTAAGAAAGGACGGAATATTAGGTGAAACGGATGCATATGATGAATAACGGGAGAGGGCGCTTAAGTTTGAGTTGACCCTTTGTTTCTACATCAAGTCGGCACGTAAAATTTGGCCTTTGCTGTTTGGCGGCCGCCCAATCAACGAAACGTGGAAACCGTGGGCTACTGCTGCAGAATAATACACCATTTCCTAAGTCAATAATAATAATAATAATAAAAGCAGTTTTATTTTCGTTGATGTCCAAATTTCTCTTGATATTTTGGTGACATTTTACAAGACTTGCAATGGAAAGCAAAGCAAAGGCTATCAGTTTAAGTTAATTTTTATTCAATTAATAAAGATACAGAATAAATGAATGAGCGAAGAAAACGTGGAAAAGTGAATAAAGCTTGAAATAATTTATTAGTCTTTTATTTGTTATCTGAAGTGACGAATCCAAGAGAGGGAATTAAAAAAAAAGAAAAAAAGAAAAGAGAAGTGAAAAAGTATAGGAAAGCTTTGCTTTGCCAGTTGCGTACTTGACGAATGAGTCCCCTCTAGTGTTTTTTTTTTTTTTTTTTTTTTTATTCCTACGGTGATGCATTGCAATATGCAGCTTATGATGCTTGATTGAATAGAAGTGTTGTGAATATGACTTTTAGAGGCACTGAATTTCCAGCAATGCGTGGAAAAGGAAGGAAAGCTTTCTCTTCAGCCTTTTATGTTTTCATTTGGAAGATTTCATTAAATTTGATTCCGTAAAGTTTTTTTTTACTTTACGGTTGTTTTCTAGCTTCACATGATTAACGAGCTGGATGATGATGTGAATTGTGAAGACTTACGAGTGAAAATCGAACCATTCCAACAAAAAAACGTTACCTAAGAAACCAACCACCATTCAATGGCCGACGTAAGCATCATTTCACATGAAACTTCAGTACTTAAACAAAACAGAATACCAAAATAACACAACAAAACAAGTTAAAACTCATATCTCTAAGGATGGTTGTTCAGGTCATAATTTTAAATCTTTTTACATTATTCATTTTTTATAAAAAGCAATCTGGTAATCTATTTCTTTAACCCATATATTATTTATTATTACTTGCATTCATGCCTTTTATAGTCTGTCGCTAAAAACTTTGATCTCTCTCAAATCTAGAATCTCATTTGTCCTAACTGGTACAAATGATAGGCACAGAACACCAAAATAACACAACTGATAAATTTTCTACAATAATCTTATAGTTTCTTTTCTTCTCCCTTTTGTTAGGTTCAGTATGATTAACATGCATGAAAAACTTATATCCCAACAGAAGAAATGCATAAAACATAAAGCAAAATGTATCCTCCATTCGGACTTCTTCATTGGTAAGTATGGCACACATAACACAGATCAAAGAAAGCAGGCTGAATTATTCCATCATCAGCAGTAGCAGGCCTTGAGCAAAGCAACCCAAGCTGTTTTAACAGCAGAAGTATAACAAGTCCTGTGCTGTATTCCACCCCTTTTTCATCTTGGGGGAGATAAAAAAATTGTTTTTTTGGTACACAAAGAGGAACAAAGAGATCAAAGAACAAGGAAATTCTGAAATACTTCAGGAAATAAAGAATAAAAAAAGCTAGAACTAAAACGAAAACCAAAAGGCTATTTTTAATATTTGACACACGGATAAAATCCCATTAATCAAACAGCATCCTTCAACAGAGTTTGACAAAAAAGGATAACGAAGATGAAGCCAAGGAGAAGTAATTGGAGAAGCTTTTCAGAGCATTCCCCAGTATGTTCTTAACTTAAACAGGATCAACAAGCGTTACAAACTATATATTGCATACCACAAATGCAATTAGATCCAGGATATCTATATGACCTTGAGAGCTAGAAGTAGGTACCCTCAGGAGGTTGGACCAGCTTTCGATTATGTGGGGCTGCCATCTCCTTTTTGAGCTGTGTCAGTATATCCTCCATGGTATACTCCCTCTGCCAATTTGCAAGAAGTCCAAACTTCTTTGATTCCACCTGTTGCAATTGGATACCATAAAATTCTTGTCACTAGGTTTTCTGTCATCATACTGATAACAACATAAAAATACAGTTGCACAAATCAGAATGCCTAGATAGTTGAATTACTTTCAAAATTATGAGTACCCAGGTTCCATATATACAAGAAAAAGGAGGGGATGGGGTGATTAACACAATCTAACATACCAGATAGCACCATTCTCAAACCAGTGAATGGTTAAAATAACCAATCAATGAAAAACAGCATCAAATTAACCAACAAATATGAAATAAAATAAACTGATCATTGCACCACTAATGAATGTAACATTATTAGTATACCACTCCAGTTTCATGGTTAACACAAGTCATGTTGATCCTTGAATGAAATCGGACGCTCGGTGGCTTCTCTGGATAATCTTTATCACAGAACAGCTTCAGCTGATAGATTCTACCTTCATGTACAGTCTGACAACAGGAAAATAAAAAACACCACAAAGAAAGAATCAGAAAAGCATGTACAAAATTATAGTTTTCAAATTTACCCACCAAAATCCATTGTTCACTTCAAAAGCAAGGAGTGTAGGATAATCCCACAGTCAAGCACCAGGATACCACAATGCTAATTATTTGTGAAAAGAATTATAAGCCCACTAAGATAATAGCATAATCCCATACATATCACCCAGATCTTTTAGCCCCTTGGCTTAATAACCAAAACAAAAAACTGAGAACAAGCTTTAGATTCTCTGTTTTTGTCAAAAGCCAGGATTAATACTCAATGATTCAGAAGATTCACATATGATTGTCCATACAGACAAAGTTTCATCTAATGGAACAACATCAAAATATATAATATGTTGCCTGAAAAATAAGCAATTACATTGTGAGGACCAATAATGGTGCCAGTCCAAGAGCGCATGTAAATATCATCTCCATCATCCATTCCATAGCTGACGGTACCATCTCCAATACCTTTTTCTCCACGCTCAAGCTCCTCCAGCAATCTGAAGTTCCGAGGCACTGCAAAAAGAACTTATAATACTCAATAAAACTCATGATCTTTTATGCTAATAACATGAGAAGTCCTAGCATTGGGCTTAATGCTAAAGAATTTCTGTCACCAGAGTAGGTTGAGAAAGATAATTAATCTTTCCATAAGACCTCTTCCATTTCAATCATGTAACCATGATTACCAATCCCATTGCCTAAGCATAATCATATTACACCTGCCATAGATTAATTATTTGTCTCACTTGTCAACATCTTGGATGAAGGAGCTCCCAAAGCTTCTTGTATATCAGAACAAGCTTGTACTAGTTTCATTTTATTCTAACTACACTGAAGGTAAAATAGTGACAACAATCCCTAGAGATTCATCGTAATGATATTCAGAGGTAAACATATTTATGGCAACATATAAATAAGAAAAAACACTAAGAGTTATTACAATCTCCTGCAGCTCAAGGTTCATATAAACCTCTATAGGAGTTTGACAATCCAGGTTGCATACAAGGGAAAAAGAAGTGGCAACAATAATGATAAGAATGACTTGTTTCCAGTGTACTAGTTTTAAAACAGATTCCCAAAAAGCGCAGGTATACTTTTATAAACCAAAAGAACTTCATAATCATCAATGCCTTTATTGCGTACTTGTAAGAGAAAAAAAGAACCGAATAGATAGAAATATGCATTTCTATATTCTTTAATTCAAGATTTTATGTGCAAAACATATTCAAACAAATACTAGAGCACAAATCAACAAACATTCTTATAAAATTTCAGGCCGCAGTATTCGCCAGGCATTTCTAATTGTTAAATATAAGGCTTGTCAGCAAAATATATATAATTTTAATAAATAATTATTAACAAACAATAACACTATTCATCATGAAACTAAAACATTATAAGATAGACATAAAAACATACTTTAAATTGCTGAATAAATACTCAAACTAGACAAAAAGATTCATATTTTAAATGGAATATAATAGCAATCAACCCAACCCGAAAACAAATATAACAATTAACGGCAACCCAAAACATTAAATAAACAATAAAACAAATAGAACAATAGAAGAATTGAGGGAACCCCTTCAATTCCTTATCTTAATCCATATAAATTGGCAAAACCTAAATATAATAACTGACTATACATGAAATAAACGATAAAACAGCAAAATCTATGAAACCCATGAATGGAATCTACGAATGATAAGTAAAAACGCAAGATCAAGTGGAGAAACAAAGGGGTGCATTAAAAATAAAGAGAAGAAGGGAGAAAGGGATCGAAGGGCTGACCCACGACACTCGATCCACCTGAGCCAAGCGTCATGGGTGGTTCACTGGAGGTTTTGTTTGATGGGTTTGGAGAGATCTGATCGATGAGCGAGATTGAAGATAGAGAGAGAGGAGTCAGAGTAGAGAATACGGTGAAAGAAAGGCGACGAGAGGCAAAGCCACTAGCTATGGGATGGGGAGAATAAAGGGGACATTTTAGTTTTATTTTATGTTATTAATATGATAAAAATAAAAGAAATTTTATGTATTATTCTATATTTTTTTTAGAAAATATATTATTGTATTATTAATTTATTAATAAATTTTTAATACAATTTGAGATAAAAAATTATATGTGACGGATTTTAATGTAATATTATTAGTTAAAAGTAATTAAATTAAAATTTGAATTTAATAATTTTTTTAATTAAAATTCAAAAAATAAATTAACAATTCAAAAAAAAAAATTGATCAAAAATATAATATTAAATTTGATAATTTAAAATATAATATAATTATATGATATGATATTATAAAATATTTTATTAATTTAAAATATAACATAATAATATAATATCATATGATACGAAAAAATAAAAAATAATATAATTTAAAATTTTAATAATAATTATATATAAATTTAATAAAATAAAAAAATATATTTTATATTTTTATATCAATATAAATTATAATTCAAAATTTTTATATAAAATATAATATAAATACATAAATTTTAATATTTACATAAAATAAATATACGATTAGTGAAATCTAACGTTGCTAACACATTATTTCCTCCTAAATAGATGCCTAATGGGTTTTATTAATGAATTTGAGCTTTTAACTTTTGTGAAGTAAACACATGAACGTTTATATTTGACTAGAATGGGGCACATCCATTATGTAAGTGGAAAAATATGATTTTTTTTAAATAAAAAAAATATATTTTGAAAGATTATAATACATACAAAAGTGAGTAATTATATTTTAAATAAAAAAGACATGCAATATTATGCATCATTGATTTATATTTTTATAATTAATTAATTTTTTGATTTTTTATATATAAAAATCCAAGGGAAAGGTTTTCTGAACATCGTTACTCTCTAAAAGTAGATAATAAAAATTAAATAAATATGAAATTCAAGTATTTGACTTAATAAAAAGTATAAATATTTTTCTTTAAAAAAAATAAGATTCAAATCTCTATATTGAAAATAAAATAATAATTAGCTAAAATATGGGTTATTATAAACTTATATAATTAACAAAAATTTCACTAAACTATAATTAATTATTTTCATGTAAACTAATTCGATTTTTTTACAAGTTTCCTTCAAATAATTTTAAAAAATTGGGATTTAAGAAATCATTTTAAATTTGAAAATGGTAATTCATATCATATTTTGCGTTTTAAAAAGGCATAGAATAATTGAGCAAAGTTTTTCTTGTTCTATATTTACTTCTCTCATAGAACAACATGGGTGTTGAAAATCATTGACCCTAAAAGTGGAAGAGCCCAGAGGCAGTGAAGTCCATCAAAGACTCTTCAACACCAGATTCACGTTTTGCCACTGTCCTCCGAGACAGAAAGGAAAAAGAAAGGTTCAGCCAAACACTGGCTGTTTGTCTCCGCTATTTTCCACCGCTCTTGCCCGGTATCATTGCGTTTCTTTCAAATTTTCTGCTAGTTACTCTTTTATTTGTCTGGGTTTCTCATAGTTTATCAGATGATTCAATGGAGGTGATGATATTGTTTATGCTTATTAGATGTTTGATGAAGTGCCTATGAGAAACGGAAACCTTTCCTTTGACTTTTGCATTTGTTTTCTAACGAAATGCTTAGCTCAAGTTAAGGTAACTTAACCTTAGTTTTTTTTTTTTTTCCTTAAAATCCTTATGTGTGATTTCTCATTTTTAGGGTGGTTAAATTTTATGTTTAGGTTGCTTCTTTGCTGTTTACTGGGTCGATTGAGAAGCTGAGTATATAAAGTACGGATTAGAAAGAACTAACAAAAACTTTATAATTATCGCTGTTAAAAGATTGCCTTTCCGAAGTCCACTCATATGCTTGAATATTTCTACTAATTTGAATGACTTGTCATTTTCAACCATACATCATCTAATATGTGCATTGGAATTTTTGCATGTGCCCATACTTAAGTGACATAGTTGTTCGCCAATGGCTATTTAACTTTTAAGGTTCACATCTTTTTAGTATATGCAGTGGCTCAAATGAACCAATTTTTGTAGCCTTGTAAACAATCAATGAAATTGTTATGTTTTTGTGTTTTTATGATGCTTAACTATGGAGTAATTGGCGCTTCTTGTTGTTGAATTTTCAGATAACTTTGTCTGTATCACTATTGTTGTTGGCAATGCAAGTAATTTAAATGATGTTGAGCACTTATTTATTACAAGGCAGTATAACAAACCATTTCTTTTTTCCCTTCTAAGTAGTTCATGGTTTGTTGGCGTTGAGTATTGTTTGTTCTTGCAACTGTCAACACCAAAACCTAATGTGCATAATGCTACATTATTGAAACTTTAGCTTTATGCGTAATAGTTTATTTTCTTTCTTGTAACATATTAATTATTCTTATCTTTTCTTTTAATATTTTTGTTCTAGATGTCTTTGTATATTGGCCGTCTATCATCTCGCACTCGTAGGGATGAACTTGAGCGTGTTTTCCGAAGGTTTGGAAGATGCAATGTACGGCTGAAAGATGGCTATGGATTTGTTGTATATGACTATCCTCCAAATGCAGAGAAAGCTTTGAGAGCATTTCAGGGAAGAAATATCTGTGGGGAGCCATTAACTCTCACATGGTCAAATAAACAGCCTAGACCTTTCAAAAAATTTGCTAGGGCTGATAGATCCTATGAGCCACTTAGAGTTAGGAGATCTTCTAGAGGTGGAGGTCATGGTAATAGAAAATTGGATTTAAATGTTAAGCAAGATCACAGCATGAATATTGAACAACTGGAGAGTCATGGTGTCAGGCTTAGTTCTGCTGACTTGCTTAATGCGGAGATGGACTACTATCTAGACCATGTTAAAGTATACACAAAGGAAGACAATCATGACTATGGGGAAGATTTGCTGAATGGAGGCGGTCAAGTTGAACCCAGCCTGATGGATGGTGATAGGTGGGATGGGCAATGTCATAATCTGTCTATTGGTAATGACATTGAACATGAAATGGCATTTGACCGCTACATACGTTATGACAAGAAAGATGACGATGAAAACCATAGAATTGTGTACGGTGGTTCTCCTGCTGCACAAAGCCCTCAAGAGAAAATAGCTAGAGAGCTGATTTGTGAAGGAATTATGAACCATCCTGAGGATTCAAAAGCGCAGCAAGCTTGTTACCTTTGTGGTGCTTTGGGTCACAAAAAGCATAATTGTTCCCGTGAAAATACTTCAGGAAGATATTTCTCTGTGTTTGACAGCAGACAGGATGATGTTATTAGTAGAGGAGATAGAGGACAAGGTGGCCTGGAAAGTTTTGGATCCAATACTCAGGCAAAGCTGCAGCAAGATAGGGATCCCCTAAGAACAAAGCAATTCAACGATACCAGAAAAGCATCTGGTTCTAGAAAGCGTGGGAGATTGATAGAGAATGGAAGCTCCCCTATTGCAAAGAAAACTGACAAGGCTTGGGAAAAGGACTATGGAGGAAAGAAGCGAAGTGAGAGGAGAGGTGGAACTCCTAAAAGACATAGTGCAAAGAAAGCAAGGCCTTCTCCACTTCATCCTGATTACAATGCATCCAGATCAAGCTCAAAATCTAAATCTATAAAGCATATGCAAAGGTCAATTTCAGGGTCTAGATCAAGATCCAAATCATCCAGGGCACGCTTGTCATCTACTGATTTAAGGTCCAGTTCAATATCACAATATTCTAGATCCAGAAGTTCTAAGTCTAGCTCAAGGTCAAGCTCTCCGACATCCTTGTCTTTGTCTGTATCCCTTGGTGGGCATTTACCATCATCCTCGAACAAGGGGCACTTGAATTTTAAAGGCACTTTGGATAAGTCTAACTCTCCTGAATCCAAGGAGATTATAGTTGGAGGAGAATCAGCAAAAGGTGATGTTGAATTGGAGAATGTAAAATGTGAAAATAGAATTACTCCAGTGGCTATTGAAAACGTTGGGTCATCTGCCAAAGTAGAAAATGAAGTGGAAAAGGACCAAGCCATGCAGAGAGGTAACAGTGATAATCATATGGCACCCAGGTCAGGGTCTCAAGTAAAAAATCCAAGCACACCACTTTCAGAGAAAGCTCCAATTTCTGCTGGAAGTTTGTCTCCCGAGAACTTGAGAGAGATCAAGGGCAGTCGAGATTTTGATGCACTGACAACTGAGGATGTGATAGTACCACATATAAAAAATGATTCAGAGCTTACCTCCAGCCTTTCAACAAACATATCTCCTGAGGAGTTGTGCATGGTCATGAAGCATTATGGCCTAGAACCTCCAGATGAAAATGGAAGACATCTATCTGCAGAAGCTTACTTTGGTTCTGCTCGCTTGTGGCCTTGGGAGATTGTCTATTATAGGAGGTTAAAGAAAGGTCCTATTTCAACTGAGAACTATGCCAGGCGAGTTGCACAAAATAAAGAATTTGGTATTGTTGACAAGTATATCAGAAGCAGTAGTGGTTGGGGAGAACTGAATCACCCATGATAAGCTTTGTAAATGTTGTGACAGCTTATTTTATCTTCTCAGGGAGCATTTGGGCCCTATTTTATAGTATGGTGTGGGATTTTGCAAGATAAAAATCTGAATCTGAACAGGTAATCTTCTAGAAAGTATGCCATATGGTTGCCCTAACTGCATTGCTAGAATAAATATAATATCCTCTACATTTTCCTTTCTAAGAATATTTTTATACTAATATGATAATTATGGATATCTCAATTTCTGAAAATTTTTTGCCTATATGCTATGTCATTTACTAACTGTCAAGGCTTCTCTTGTCGTGGCAAATGTGTAAAGCTTTGTTGTTCTGCATTTCAATATTATAATTCACTTTAGTTCTCAAGCTCAGTTTTGTGATTTATCTTTAACTTAATGGTTTCATAGCTAATGTTTTTCCCTCAGAACTATTAAAATTTTGTTCTGTTAGTGGTATTTATTGCATAGCATATTGGTGCTTCAATTAAACTCTTCAAAAAATATGTTACTACATCTTTCTAAATTTTACTGATAAATGCTTGTGAATTATGAAGGTTTTGATTTAAAATTTTGATATTTATGCATTCTGTGGTGCAAAGTGCAGAGGCATGCATTTAGAAATTTCACTTTTGGATATGAGCACTGCATGTTGACCTTCATTCTAGTAACAAAGTCTAGGGTTGCAATTTGTGATAGGTCTTGTTATTTCATGTTTTTGGTGGTAAGTTAGAGTCCTATGACCTCAAACCACCCTCAGCAAGACGAATGTAATATTTATGTATTTGAGTTATTTAATTTGTTTAGAAAACAACAATTGCTTTTTTTTTTTTTTAAATTATTGGTATTTTATCATGGTGAGTTAGGGGGGAATGGGTGGGGATGGGGCATCCAGGTGTGAACCCAAGACTTGGTAGTACGCCTGGCAAAGGGCTGGATACCAGCAAGCTAGAAGTTGGTTTTTTTGCTTGTCTAACATATGCATATTGAAGTGAGAAATTTTAAGTTTTACCTTATCATATAAAGGTGAAGCACCACAAGAAGAGATAGCCTTTGTGCTTATTTAACTTGAGTTTGTATGGTAATGCTTACAGACAAAGCTAATATGATTCTAAAGACAAATATGCGATCAGGACAATGTGAGATGTAAGATCTGATGACAAGCTGAATAGCATCCAGATTGAAACATTTTCGTAGATTGATCTGAAGTCAAATGAGTAAGCAGGTCTTCAAAAGAAAAGAGTTATATATGGCCTGTTCCTTGATCCTTTGCAGGTTTTTATTTAATACACTTCAATTAGGTTAACAGAGTCAAGCAATATTCAAATAAGCTCTAGTAAACATGAATCATATGGGTTCATTGAATTGGGTTGCAAACCAGTGTCACAGTCTTCCTCTCAAAAGTTTTCTCATTTCTGAAATTCATAATAGTGTTGATAAATGTTGTTTCATATGTGTGATTAAGGAGCAGCAGATTCCCATAAAATGTGAAAATCATATCTGACAATGGTCTGTCAGATCTTGTCTTGCAAAAGTTTGACTAGGTTGTTCTCACTAGCAGCCCAAAGTCATGTTATTATGAAATAATCTATTGACTTTGAATAAACCACTTGATAACATGTTTACCATTTGGCAGATTTTCTCTTGTGAATTTGAACTATTTGGTAATTGGCATCAAATGCATGGATAATGGGGGAAAAAGCAATTCAATGCATTATCAATCTATTCTAGAAATATATATATTTTTAATTTGCTATTTTCTTGGGAATGAAAATTGATATCTGGGATTCTGGCTGGTGTTAAGGTGATCCAAGAGGATTTCTCATATCAGAGAAACATTTGAAAGTTTGAATGACTTTTCTTGTTTAGCCAATGAAACATTGGATAAATTGTTTACAATTCTGTTAAGTAAATAGTTTGTGTGATATTTTAATGAGTCTATTGATTGCATGTTATTTCAAAAGTTGTGAGGAATTTGGTGGGAATCCTTTTAGTAGTATGCAGGCTGGCTGTTTGCTGAAGCAGAAAGAAAGCAATGGGTTAACTTTCATCCATCATCTTCCTATCTTCATTTTTTCAAATCTAACTGATGTTGATATTTATTTACTGGTCTCGTTGTGATTTATGTTGTAAATTGGCTCTAAATATAATGACTTGAGAATTTCATGTGCCCTTTCGCCAGTAAAATGTTTTGACATTTTTGTCAGTTAATGTGCTTACTGGGCATAGATGGTAGGTTTTTCCTCTACTGTATATAAGTGGAGACTTGATGCCTTGATGGTTTGGTCGTGTACTCTTATACATTGGATTCAACTGTTAGCTTGCGCTTAGCATTCAATCTCTTCCAATATATTCTAAAAATAGTCTCGATAAATTGGTTTCGCTATTAAACCAAGTTAATTATAGTTTTTTATACAAGGGATAAATGCAAATACACGTTGAAAACAAGGTGAGTAGCTTGTTATGATGTAGCTGATAATGATTTATTATTAAAGGATGGATGCTTAGAATCAAGAACAATAGGTTTGACATGAATGATTCTTTTGGTTTAGTTATTGTCTTGAACTTAGGCCTTTTAAGTTGTCGCTGATTTTCGAACGAGTCACTTATTTCTTTAAAGATTATTGTAATTGGTTTGTTGCACCCATAGTTTTCAAAATCAGATAAGATATTAAATCATCTAGGGTTTTGAGTCATTGGATCAATGGATTAATCATCGGGTTAATAAGTCAATTGTCAGTTCAATAAAAAAAATATTATAAAAAATATAAATATTTTAAAAATTCAAATTTTAAATTTTTAATTAAAGTTATAGTTCAATAATTCAATAATAAAATTATAAAATTTAAGGTATATCATAAACTATAAATTTTAAAATATAAAATTCATAAAATAATTAATTACTAGTTTGAAATAAAATTACTTAACATTTTATTAAAATCATATTTTATATTTTAATAGTTAGAAATAATATTTATATTTTAATAAATAAAATAAATAATAAGTAATAAATTATTATTATTTATATTTATTAAAGTATAAATATTATTTATTAATATATAATAATTAATCTTTATGTAATAAAAAGAAATATCTATACATAAAATTAATAAAAAGGAAACATTTATATTTATATGAAAATTAGTAAAACGAAAATTAAAATCGTTTTAATATTTTTTATATAGATGTAGATTTTTTTATTAATTTTACATATATACATTTTTTATTAATTATTTTCGATCATGATTAAATAATTAATTATTTTTATTAACATTTTGTTTTTTTTATTAATTTTATATATTATTATTTTTAATTATGATATCAATTTATAAAATTTTTTGTTAGATTATTTTTTTTGAAAATTGCTTATTTTTATGCATGTATAAGTTTTTTTACAATATTATTATCTAAGTATTTCAATATATGCCAACATATTACTAATACAAAGATGCAATGGTTTTGATAATAGAAAATAAAAATTTAAGGGTTTATTTAGATGAAATAATAATATAAGGGTTTAATTAAATTATTTAAATATTTGAAGGGTTTTTTTATATTTTATTTAAATTTATTAGTTGATATTAAATCAGTCCGATTCACATAAAAAATTATTTGATTTACTGATTTATTATATAAATTACCAGTTTAAATTAGTTTAAGTGGATCAATTATAAAATTGATCTAATTACAAAATTAGATCAATTTCAACATCAATTTCTTGGTTCATTCGGTCAAACTAACGATCCAATCTAATTCTAATAATTATGGTTGCACCAGTAGCACCTAAGTTTTGGAACAAATAGTGTTTTGAATCTTTGCTTGGTCAGAAATATATTTGAGGTACTGAGGTTTGGTAGATTAATAATTATTGCCATTGTTACAGTCATTTAGTAACAAGCTTTGAATGATACTGATTTTAGGCAATGAATAACTAAAAAACTGACAAGATTGAACAATCAAACCTTTAAGTTATTGTTGCCTATTGTTGTTTATTTGGCATCTTCACTTCAATTAGAACATGTTCATCCCCTGCTTATTGATTACTCTGTTCCTACTTGAACCGTCTTCCTAATTGGTGCAGTCTTGTGCACATTTATGAGCTGCTGCGTTGCTGCATTTTTTCCCCCAAGATCATTTTGACATTTACTTACATAAGATACTAAAGCATTCATGGAACCAAAAAAAAAAGAGAGAGAGAAGTTGAAATTGAAGTTATTTCTCTCTCTATGCTCTTCATTTTTTTTTTCTGCGACTTTGAAATTATGATTACAGATTGTAATGATGTACTGTTTTCTATTCCCTATGCTAATAGTACAAGATTTTGAAGAGGGTTGGAAAGGGTGAGGGAAATTAGAGAAAATAGACAATGGCAGCAGAAAGGTGGCATTTAGTGAGTGATGAAAAGAGAGTGAAAATGAAGGCAAAGAAAGAAAAGATTGAATAATATAAAAATTAAATTTGTATTTATCATCTGACGTAATACCTCCCTCATTATTCTCAACTGTCTCAATTACTCTTGCATTTATGTGTTTTAATGGTCTTTCAATCTAAAATTGTTCCATTTTCTTTCATTGCTCGAACTACCCTATTTCACTCCCCTTCATTTACCTGATTACCCTCTTCTTCTTTTTCTTTTTTTTTTCTTAGCCTGTTGAGATAATTTGGTAATGGTTTTTTGTTCCATAATCCTGATGTCTACGGAACGAAACTGTTTAAGAAGAAATTCTGGTATAAATGGTCACTCTGGCTAACTTTTGCAGACAATATAAGCTGAGGATCTGCCTCATTGGATTTGCAATTGGCAGCAGCGGCCACCAGGGAGACTCTCTCCTGGTGGCCCTGAGGCACAAAAGGAAGGCAGCTTCATTGCCGGTTGATTCCTGCAAGTTCTTTAACTATGGTGGATGATTAGGCCCCGTTCTTTATCCAATTGCAACATAACTAGCTGGGAACTGAGAAGCCAATCATGACATGGTGGGCCAAAGTCAAAGAAAAATACTTACTGCTCCAAGTACAAGAAAATCTAACCGATTGCTATGGGATTTTAGTTTTACCCATGTTTTAGGCATAAGGTAAAATTCGGTGATCATTCTTTTTTACTTAGTTGAACTGAGCATTGCGTCACTGCCCCATCAGCAGCTGATGTGGCATTTTCTGATATTATTAAAGCCAAAAAAAATTGAGAAATCAGACAAAAACTAGAATTGGAAAAAAAAAACCCAACCACTTTTGCCGAACAAAATATATTATATATTTCTTTTTCATAAGAAAATTTAGTAGTTGTAGTTAAGCCAGTTTACATTGTCTTCTGCTAAAGGGGAAGAAACCCCAAAACCAGACCAAAACAGAGACACCCACTACCATAAACGACCATATTCTATGCTCTATCCCCACCTTTTTTTTTATCACTAACTTTTGCTCTCCGAAGGAGTTTATAAAGAAAAAATTAAAGAGAAAAAAAGTGGAGGGCAAATAGCACTATCTGTGAAAACTAAGGGTAAAATTTAAGGAAGGGAGCTATAACATTAAAGTCCTAACAGCCAACATTAAAATTAGCAAAAGGCCAAGGTGGGGAGGATGGAGGGGTTCCTAGTCTAACTCTTTCTTGTCTTGGTAGAGTCAGTGGTAGCAGTATCGTGGAGGAAATCAAGCAAAACGGTGCTCTTGCATTTGGGGCATTTAGGTTCATCCTCTGAAAGCATCACATACATCAGGCACCTTGGGCACCCTACCAGAACCATGGATGTCGCCTCAGGGCTGCTTGGATATCTGACAGAATTAGTGTCAGCGTCCAGGCTCATCTCTGATGACACACATGAGCTTGGAGGAGATGTCGGTGACACTGTAGCTGATCGGCTTGGTGATTCCACTCTTGGATTAAGCCTTGGTGGTGATAGGTTCAGCTTCAGCTCAACCTTGGGACCATTTCTGCGATTCATCTTTTGTATGCTCACGTACAATTAACCTGAATGAAACATGTTAGTTCAATATATATAACAGTTGAATTCTATTGAAATATTGATAACATGGGGAGGTGACGAAAAAAGATTGAATGTTAGTTACCTTGAAGGTCAAGGAACCTTGGGCAGGACGGAAGTAGGAGGAGAAAAGAGAGGCTCTGTTTTGGTTTTCTTACAAGGCTGGTTTGGACCAGGCTAGGCTGAAACCCTGAGGAACAAACTCCTTTTCTTGAAGAATAGAAAAACAAGGTAAGTGAGGGGGATGGATGGGGGAAAGGTGGTGAGGAGATTGATGCAGAAAGAGCAAAATATATAAGGGGAGAAATGATGGGAGAGAAGATGGGTTTTATTTAAAGCTTAATTAAATTACGGTGTAGGTTAGAGAGAGAGAGAGAGAGAGATAAAATGGAATTGAAGGATTGGTAGAAGAATGTAAATTGAGGCCAGGAAATGTATTAATGGCAGGAAAAAATCCCAAGATGTATGCGGGAGGGAGAAAATGGCAGTAAATATTATTGCAATTTACAAAAGTGCAGGGAGGAAAGGAGAGAAACCCCCCGAAAGGCCACCAAAGAATTTACTATCAAACAACAAGAAATTTAATGGCAACCAATAAAAAGAAAGTGTAGCAGCTAAACCCAATTTAAATGTTCAACAGAACTCAGATAATTAAAAATGAACACCACCAAAATTTCATATGAATCATACCAAAGTTAAGGCTTCTTTCTGTCTCAGATTTGGTAAAATTTTTCAGAAAAATCCTAGCAGTTTCCAGGATTAATCCTTTTGGCCTGACTGCCCTTGCTTCACGGTTCCGCCAAGAGCGTTCAAGTTTCAACAAGTGAGAAGTCCATTCTTTGATTAAAGCACTACTTTTCCATTCAAAGAAACAATATCTGATCTTTCCTTTTCCCTGTAATGCTCATCAAATTGGATCATTTTTTCAGTCACAAACTTTTTGTGGAGATAACATCTTCCTTTGACTATTTGCCAGCTAATGAAATCTTTTTCAGCATCCATGTGATATTATTAAATGTAATTAAAGAAGGGTTTTGTACATGATTTTGATATGTATATATATGAATATATATATATATATATATTCATTGATTTAATATTTGCCATGTTTGAGAAACTGCCATTTCTCCCTAACCATGCGTTTAATTCGAAAGCCGACGACCTAACAAATAATCTTTATTCATATACTCCATTTGTCATGGATTTCTAACATTTTTACCTTGTCCGTCCATCTGGCTTCTGGTTCTGTAACCACATAATCAATTGAATTTCTCTCATATTGAGGGCTTCTCTCATTTATAATCAATTGATTTCCTCCAAAAAATTAAAATTGAATTTTTGGATTCGCTGAATCAAAAAGCTGTGCTTGAAATTCCTGTGCCTGAGATTTGACTAATGTTAAACAAGTCGGCAACTAGGTATTTTCAACTTCACACATGAGCCTCATTCAAGGAGGGGGCTGCGGGGAACTATTCTTGTTACTGAATTTAGAAACCAAAAACATTTTTATTGAAATTAGTTAATCAATGCGTTGGAATATTTGATTTAATGAGTCTTGTTCAAAGAATTGAATTCCTCTCTTCTTCTTCTTCTTCTTCTTCAAAAAAAGACAATTAATAAAAAAAATCATAAACTTAATCTTTTATGCATATATAAATGCAAAGAAATCTAAGAGAGAAAATATTTGAAAGTAATTGAATCTTAATTTTGAAAAAAAAAAGTAATTGACTACAATCATAACTGAATTGTTGAATTTTATAATCAATCCGTAGTCAATTGGCGTGAAATTCATTTTATTGAAATTTTGTTAGGCAGTTGTTTTTTTTGTTTTTTTCTTTCCCCTCAATTGTGGAGCCATTGAATTGAATCCCATGTGGTTAAGCTTCATTAATTTTGATTTGAATGAAATGTACTTATATTCAATTCCATTAACATCTTTCAATCCTTTGCCAAACCCTCTCCTTCCATAACAACAACAATGGCTACCATAAATTTTTTTATTGATGCTTCAACAAAAAAGGGAAAAAAAAGAGAGTAAACAAGTCCAGTTAAAAAGACAAAAAAAAAATGTTTATTGATTTGGTGAGATTTGGACAATTCATTATAATTATCAAACATGTTTTTTTAACCAGCTTTAAGCTACAAAGTTAAAAGGAAAAAAAAAAATCCTAGTAAAAGAAGGAAAGAGATGGAGCAAATCAGTTGTCGTTTTCAACTCTGTTTATTAGGTACCTGAACTCATGTTTTATAACCCATTTTCTTTCATCTCACCCGGTTCAGTTAGGACAAGGTATTTTTGTGGATAATATTTCAATATTTTTGTTTCTTTTTTGACCCCTCCAACATTGAAAAAAGGACACTCCCCCCTACACCCTAATTAGACCAACATTTACCAAACAAATGTTCTTGTTTTTTTCCATGATTTCCTAATGACCATTCTATAAATATTTTTTATTTTTTGTACTTTTCAACTCCCCAACAAAATTGAAAGGAAGATTGAATTTGAGATTTGCTATTCAGAGGAAACTTGTGAAATGGAAATGGAAATGCCAGTGCTAGTGCTATGTCTATCAACAAAATGTTTGGTTTCAAAGCAACAATCCTTCTAGAAAAGCAAAAAATGGGTTTTGGTTGGACTTTACAAAAAAAAAAAAGTAGGGGTGTATATCAATATCATTATTCATCATAGATTTTGTTGGTGACAATGGAGGATTGGGTTGTTCTTCAGCAATGGTCCCAAATTACCATATAAGCAAAAAACTAATATGGTGAAGTTTTTCTAGTAATTTGCTGATATAAACATACTTGTTTCTAGATTTGATGATTTATATATCATATAAAATATTAAAATTTATGTATTTGTATTATGTTTTACATGAAAGTTATGTATCATAACTTATGTCGATATGAAAATATAAATTTTTTTTTTTTATTTTGTTAAACTTAGATATAATTATTACTAAAATTTTAAGTCGTATTATTTTTATATTTTATATTTATATCATATTTATATCATATTTATATCATATCATCATATCGTATTTTAAATTATCAGATTTACCTATTTCAAATATGAAAATGTCAAAAAGGGTTTTGAAGTTTTAGAAGAAAAACATCAAAGATTGGTTGGTTAATTGTCATTGCTTCCATAAATTGGAATAAAGGGTTTTTGTCTTGTAGAAGGGATAAGCCTCCTATGGTATTAATTCACCTACTACTAACCCATCAATCCCTTTGTCTTGAATAGGGAAATTTTGAATTAATGAAAAACTGGCCACTTGGTTAATACAATAAATAGTATGCTGCTTTTAGTTAATGTAATAATATTAGGTATTAAGAAAGGGCTTTTATGAGAGCCACCAAAGGCCAAAACTTCAATGGAGCTTTTTCATTATTATTCCTTCATATTTTTAAGCCACCTTTGGATAACTATGTATTTAAATCACCCATTAATTTATACCATGCTGATGGGGCTATTCTATTAACTTCAAATTTTTTTTTATCATTTGGGGGTAAAGGCTCAACTAGAATTGTAATTTTCTTTTTTCAAATATAATATTATTTTGTTTGATATTTCCAAGTTTTGCGTGTAATTAACTATTCACAAATAGTACCAAGATAATAAATAACAATTTATTATTTGTGAGTAGTCTAAAGAATTTTTTTATGCAAAAAGTAAATACATATTGTAAAATTGAAATATTAGGGAAAAATGTAAATTTCCCTTCCCTAACAATACAACATTTTTTAAGAAAAAAAAATATTCCTCCTCCATTTTCCTTTTATAAGCATTGATTCTGACACATAAAATGTCAATTATAGAATTTATTAAACTACATATTCAATTTAAGACTAAACGTATCATTTAATTTGTTGCTTTCGTCAGAAGCAATTTTATTATTGGAAAAATTCAATATATCAAAATTTTATTGGATGGAAATTGGTACATGAACAACACAAATATATTATCAATATATATTATCCATTGGTATGTTTTGAATAAAATAATTAATGTCCATGTTAATAATTATATCTGATCTTTAGATTTTTGTACCCTAGTAGACAAATAATATCTATGCCACCATACTAAAAAAAAAAAAAGAAAAAAATTGCTTTTGTACCAATACCATACAAATGACTAATGAAGCTTCATCATACATTAATTTTGTGGGAAGAAAATTATACTCAGGCATTAATGCATTTAAAAGAATCAAGTTGAAACTATAAATTCAAGCAGCTAAAAGTACAAATTAGTTTATTAAAAATTGCAACAATAAGTTTGTCAAACTCATTATTATAAAGTTTTACTAATTTTTCATTTGTCAACTATAAATTTCATAAGATAATAAATGAAACTTCAAATTCTATATGTTTAGTTGAATTGATAATGAAAGAAGGTTGGAGGGTTTTATTTTCTGCAACAAAACGCCATTGTTGGACTTTAAAGAATAAAAAATATAAATATGTTCTCATTAACATTCCATAAAACTAATTTTAATCCTCTAATTCAGTTCTTTTTTAACATAAATTTCAATCTTACTTTTTCCTTCAAAATTTTAATAGTAATTTCCATTTTTTCGATAAATGAGAAATTAAAATGGCTTAAATATATTTTTTGAAATTTTGGTTCATATTTAATATAAATTCGATATTTTATCGGTAATTCATTGGTATTTAATAATGGAAGATTTCATTTGTAAAATTTCGTCGATAATAATTAAATTTCTAGTAGTGATATTATCCAAAAAAAAAAAAAAGAGAGAGATTTAGTAAATTATAGAGATGTAACAAATGGAGTTTCTACTTTCTAGTAAGGCCACCAACTATCCTTTATTTCTCTGAAATTAATGGGTCATGTAAATAAATGTAACTTTCAATATTTGCAACTCAAGTTGAAATTCACAGTTGCATGAAGCCCAAGCAAAATCAATTCCTTGTACCAAAAACAGAATGAATTCCCTTAAGGCTTGGATTTATAACCTTTTATTATTTTTTTTCTTCTTCTCTTATATAATTATAAATGTTTAAATTCTGATCTTCCCTGGTAGGTGGGAACTAAAATTAATCAAAAATGAATGTCAATATAAAGAAGAGCAAATATTAAAAAAAAAATTTTGCTAATTGATAAATAATATATATTTTTTCAAATTCAAATATATGCAGCAGCAAATGTTTTCTCTAAAGCATAAAGTAAAAACTATAGGTGTCATGTTATTAATGTAAGGCTAACCATATTGAAGTCTCTTCACCGCTTTCAGCAGAGGCTGTTGACGAATTCATAACATTCTTTATAAAAGTTTGGGCATTTATCTAGGACAATGATATAGATATGATCACTGTCACATTTCAACTCTATATCAGCATATTTTAAAA